TAGACCCATTTATTTTGTATTTTTTTCCCCGACCAGCCCCTTAAAGCATCCATAATAACTGTTTATAACAAAAACACGTACGTTTTTAAAGCCAATGGAATAAGTCAAAGGCCAATTATATCTAAACAATAAATAAAAAACCATGCTATAAAACTATCATTGTTATGATCATGACACATGTACATATAAAGACTCCTATTATTTCTTCAGATTCGACGCACTACCACGATGCTTCATCATACGAGTAAAAGGTATGGTTTTAAAAATTCAAGTTTATATGGTTCGTTGAGCTAAGAATCTCAACTATTTGTGTAAATTTTTTAACTGTACCAATTACTTCTTTGAACCAACCGTATAACGGGATATTTATGCGGGATGAAATGTTCGCGATTTTGACCCAAGTTTAGAAAAAAAGGTTTACACGGACTATATTTTTGCGATCTAGATATGTTAAGGAAGTACATTTGTGCGGTGTTTTAGCATAGAGACGGGACACTCCGCATTAACAGAGTTAAATAGTCAAATGATTAGGCTATATTAACAGTCATAACAACATGCTTGCTATTTCATGACGATAATACGGTGATCCGGTTCACTTGACACGTGTCATATTATTCTGCTGATCAAATATTCTTGATCACTTTATTGGCCGGCAAAATAGCGAAAATAGCATCCGGACCATATGATATTACAATGCGCAATTTCAAAATTCCATCCAATCCGTTTATCGGCTATTCTTACATGTAAGCATTTCAGTTTCATTTTGCATCCGATGGTACCCATTGTATAAAACAATTAATGCAAACATGTATAAACACTAATGTCTTATACATAAAATTCAGATCAGAAAAAGAATACAATTTGTAAATCATCTGTCTTTTAGCTGCTCCTGTTGGAGTAGGATCACAGATAGTACAGGTAAGATATGATAAAGTACATAGAGGATGCTATACCATTGTATAATAAGTGAATTAGAATACGTTCTTATTAAAATCAAGTGATTCATCCAAATAAACCAAGAATAATTCATAAGTATACTGTAGCGTCAATTGATTGAAACACTCGCATTCATTTGAAATGCTAAACAAAATCTTTCCACAAATGATAAACATAAGGTCCATATTATTACAAGGGTTTTCAATTTTTAGATGTCCATATCATATACTGAATGTCAAAACCAAGAATTTTGTAAACACTAGCGGTACCCTCCACGTGGTCGGTAAATATTTGATGTATCTTGTCTATTTTAAATCAAGGGAAAACCAGCGTTCCTGCGGTTTCCATCTAACGGAGAGATTTCCTGTTTGGTCGGGTCAAGTTGTCGTTTCCCTATCTACGCTGTTTCCACCTCACCTGGGTACTTACACTGTTTTAAATTACCTTGAGTATTAAAATTGGGAAAACTTGTCATTTTCTTACCAAGCATGACAAAAGAGAGAAATTAGTCAAGCAACTTTATGCAATGTCAATACGTTTACCGATGAAAACCTTATTGAATACGTCAAATTGAAAAAATATTTACTTAAAATGCACATTATTTCGCTTCTTTCAGAGGAATTACAGATATATCTCTAACTAGTTCGGAAGCCGCGGGTTGTCATGTTAGTGCAATCAGAGATGCCAGTGCCATACATATAGGAGCAAAAATGGTTGACATGACATTTCAAGATTCCTCGTTTGGTCGTAAGAAAATTTGTTTAAGAGCAGCAGATGCGTAAGTATTCAATTCACATTGTATAATTTATGTCTTATATCGGTGAAGCTTTCTGATGGATTTGTTATGTTATATTTGTACTTGTCACGTCCTTTTTCTATCACCTGTCAAGTATACCTCATGTTTAAAGACAATGCCATTTAAGGTTTCCTGTCGTCTGTATTTATTAGTCGTGATGTCTTTGAAAAAGAAAGCATGTCGTACAGAAAATTTCAATAATTTTTTAAACGCTACATTTTTTGCCCACCTGGTCTTAAAGACCATAGTGAGCTTTTGCTATACCGCGTCGTCCTTTGCCCGTTCGTCCGTCAACTTTTCCTTTAAAACGCTACTATTCCTGAACAGCGTTATAGATTTTGACTAAATTTGGCATGGAGCATCCTTGGGCAAAGGGACTAAATTTTGTGTAAACGGAGGGTGTGGCCATTTTGTTGCAGATGGGCATGGCCAAATAGTGAATTTTGAGGTTTAAATCTTCAAAATCCTTCTTCTTCTGTGCCTTTTCAGGGATTTTATCCAAATTTGGTACAGAGAATTCTTGGGCAAAGACGACTAAATTTTGTATAAACGGCGGGTGTGGCCCCTTTGGGTGCAGAGGGTAGGGGCTCAAAAGGGGTATTTGAGGTTTAAATCTTCAAAATCCTTCTATTTCTGAACAATTTAAGCGATTTTAACCAAATTTGGCCTGGAGCATCCTTCGATAGAGGGACTGCATATTGTGCAAACAGTGGTTGTGGCCTTCTTGGGTGCAGAGGAGTTGCGCTCAAAAGGGATATTTGAGGTTTAAATATTTTAAATCCTTCTCCTTTTGTACCATTTGAGAGATGTTATCAAAATTCAGCCAGGAGCGTCTTTGAGCAAAGGGGGCTGAATTTTGTATGAACGGAGGGTGCGCCCTCTTGGTGCATAGAGGCAGGGTCCAATAGAAAAGTTTGAGATTTAAATCTTTAAAATCCCTCTTCTACTGTACCATTGGAGGATTTATAACCAAATTTGGTCTAGAGCATCCTTTTGCAAAGGGAAGTGATATTTTGTAAATAAAGGGTGTGGCCCCCTGGGTGCAGAGGGGCGGGCCCAATATGAACTTTAAAATCGTTCTTTTTATGTACCTTTTGAGGGATTTTAATCAAATTTGGTCCAGAGCATCCTTGGGAAAGTGACTCAATTTGTTTTAAGGTAGAGTGTGCCCACACTGCGGGCAGAGGTGTTTGATTTGAGGGATTTAAAACAAATTTGGTGTAGAGAATCCTTGGGCAAAAAGGACTCAATTATGTATAAATAGAAGGGTGGTTTCAGGGGGCAGAGTGGCGAGCCCAATAGGGAAACTTGAGATTAATGTTTGAAATTCCACCCCAATTCATGGGGGCAGAAAGAAGGGATCTTCGTGTCATGTTAATGAAAAACCATAAAATCGGTTTTCATCTTTTTAATGGTGAAACACGTATTCTATCGAATGCAGTCATTTTCCTGAAACATTACCCATTCTGCTTTATTTCTTACCTTTCAGCAATTCTGTAATTATGAAATGTTTTGAGGCAGTGGTACAACCAAAGGGTACGTAACAGATTATATATGCATAAGCAATTTTGTTGTCTGTGAATGAATGTAACAAAATGTTATCTTATTTGACAATCGATCTGTGTTTTAAGCCTGTTTCCTAAACATTTGCTGTTTTATTGAACTTGCATTGACCAACCATAAATATCCATACGTGTGATGTTTCTGGAATATGTATATCATAAATTTATCACATTTATAGAATTGATACAACTGAAATTTTCCGGAACATGTTTTTCAAACAGAAACTTTTACATTTTTCTTTATTCATAATTACGTGTCAAAATTTTATTTACTAGATCCATGTGAAGTACAACCCTGTCGAAATAGTGCTGAGTGTGTTACGAACGGTGACAGAACATCATATGTTTGCATATGTCCCCCGGGGTATACGGGCATCGCCTGTGATATAGGTACTTTCTATACAATCACCTGGTCAAAGGCCACGTGAGATTATTCCGTTGCTTGACGTTCTTCGTCTGTTGTGTTTCGTAGTGTTGGTGTGTCTATTCTTTAACAATTGCAGAAGAAATGCTTTTGGGAGCTTTTTTGGTAGCTTTTTTTTAATATGCATGAGTACTAACGCCTCTATATTCCTTTCAAAAAAGATTAATGTATTTAGTTTGAAGGGAATTGCTACGCCAGTTTGTCCATTTAATTGAAAATGCTCACCATTCTACATTTAGGTGTCATGTGTACGACAACCAGAGACAGATTTCATCAAAAGATAGGAATCTTTTGAGAATGTACAGTCAGCTAATCATCAATTACAATGGGGTCAAAAGGCAGAAGACATTGATAGGCCGCAATAACATTTTCTTGACCCGTTTGCGTAACATCTAGGAATATCATATTATCAACATTTACCTGACGACAGAATAGTGGAATTGAATATAGAAGACGTCATTTTCGGGGCTTAATCTTTAGAATTTTATCCTATTCAACCACTTTCCAGAGTCTAGGGGGATCTGATGTGCAAACCACTTTGCAATCGTTTAAATCAATCTTCCGAATTTTGTTTGATGTTACCAAGATACTATCATGTATTTGACAAGACAGGCATACAACATTGATAAACAAAACGCCCGCCCCTCTGAAGCACCTGGCTGCATCTGATTATTGTACATGGTACATGATATCTACAATTTGTTCGAGTTGATGTATTTCTTTGTGA